TCTGTGAGGATTTTGACATTTTTCCTAACCACTTTTCATTTTTAAGATGAGATTATAATTTTCAGGAAATATACCAAAATAAATCCATGTTAAATAACAACAGTGGACCTTACAGGCATGAGCTTTTGTCACTTTATTGTTAACCAATGAATGTTATCCAAAATTATAGATGTAACTGTAACTTAATTGTACAACACAAAATTATGCTATTGGTAAAAGCCTGCTGGAATTTACCGAATACTCATTAATATATTTTTACATTGCTATATGAACATGTGCTCTCAATTGCTAATAATAAAAGTTATAATTGGTTAATCACTATGAAAATCCATATCGCAAATAGTTTTTCCTGTTTAGAAAAATTCACACAGCTTCAAAAATGGATTAACTCCATTTTAATCCTAATCTACAAATAGATTATAAACAGCCAATATAACTGGTAATTTTTCAACACTGATATCAAACTCATGTAGCAATGGTAGTGCACAATATTCAAAAAGGAAAAAACTAATAAAAATTCACGTTTTCCCCTGTCATGGCAATTGCTTTAATGTTGTGGAGAAGCACGGCCAGAAGGTTCACCTCTATGTGCTGAAAGTAGAAACCCTTTCCTCCACAGCGTTTTGAAGCATGTGCACAACCACTGTACAATAGTCACTTCAACGTTAACCAGTTATATTTTGTCCTACAAAGTCCAAAAAATATATTAAATGCAACCTTTCCTTTTCATAATGTCTGCCCAGATTAATCCTTTTAAAGTCAGCAAAATCAAAAAAGCACAAGAGATATTTTCAGACACAACTTGAATCTACTGTGCATGAAAATGTCTTAATAAAATGGCAATTCTAATAAATGTCAATTTGAATGCATAATACCAAAAAAAAGTAGCTGAACCACACAGAGAAAAAAAGGCTTTCCTTATTTCCAAATCCAGATGTTTACACAATAAAGAAAATGTTAGAACATGTGAATATTAGAACATCTTTCAAACTGGAAAGATTTCTTCTTAAGACATAATTGAACTTAGTATTGCCTAAAATTATAATTTCTAAAACAGGATTAACAAACCAAATTTAAGTACTCTTAATTAGAAACTTAAAATAAAAAACATAATGATTTAGGAACCAAATATGCTAAAATGATCATGTAACAATTATATCAAGAAATGAAGGTACAGACACTCTTCAGATGGTACAAGGCAACATCTCTCTTACACACACACACACACACACACATACACACACACACACACTTCTTCAGACATACAACACCTCTCCAGGAAGATTGTATACCAGTGAGAGCTTACAATTTTAATACAATTCAGAGTCCCACAATTCAGCTCAACAAAAAGGCAGCTAAAAATTTAGCACTCTAAGATATTCTGAAGGAAAAAGAAATCTGAAACATAGTTGTTCATGATTGGAAGTATTCTATGCTTGTAAAACATTAGCTTGAACAACCAGTCATTGCGGGTGCAGTAGTGAGGTAGTGTCACTGTCGCCTCAGGGGACTCATGTTTGCATATGCTGCCCTTTCAGGAAGGCCGAAGGTTTTTAATGATTATAATCAGTTACCAACAAATGCGTATTTTCTTTTAGTAAATGTCTGTTTGCCTAAACGAATCTATGAGAGAGCAAAACTTTTTAAATCAGACAACTGATTTATTTGCAGGGAGTATTTCACCAATATACTCTCCTAGGGCACTATTACTTGCTATCTATACCTTTGTGAACTGGTAGGCCAAGAAAACCAAAGGATGACAGAAGATGAAACTCAGATCAATTCAGCTGTCCAAGTTGACTCTAAGTATCAAATACCCAATCACATAATAAATTTGGGATTTTAAAAAATTAACCACCGGTTGCACACTACAGCTAAACCTTCTTATCGTTTCATAATTCACAGCCATTTTCTACACAATGATCAAAAACTGTGTACCCGTGACCTACCCTCATTTTAAACACTGCCAATGATCTGTATGGTGGCAGAATTATGGCTATGGGCATGGCAAGATATGAGAAGGGCACACTGAGAAAACATAATGAAAAAGAATGGGGAACTACATGCAGGTAAAATTTGAAAGGGGCAAGGGAAAAACCTAATCATTAAATAAATCACCATCGGCCTTTGAAATGTACAAAGTGCTTAAGTCACACCTACACATTTGTCAGACATGATAATTAGTGTTAATTTTCAACAGAAAAAAAAAGGAAAATGCAAAATATGAAAGGAGATGATGACCACTGTTCTCCAGTCCCTGGCTCAAAAGAAAAAGAAAACCAAGCATGATGTCACACTGCCTTAATGCTGAAGAGCTCCCCTCAAATGTGTCTTTTAGCCACCACAGTCAAACTGGTATAAGTGCTTTGGCAAGGTGGGATGCATTCCATCACATCTGCAAAGGCCTGCTTTTCTCTGTTGGTGGTTCAGCTTATGAAGAACATGTATGCAAAATAACAGCTCTCACATTGCTTCAAACTCATCAATACGTTGCTTGGTATTGCCTTGTCGAATCTGTCGCAGAGTCTTGTACTTATCACGGCCTGCTTTAACATTCTCAGCATGAAGAACATCATTTTGTGTTTTCTTAGTTTCATCTCTGGCTTGGGCTAATTCTGAACTTAATGCCTATGTTTAAAAAATTAAAAAGTATGAAGATTATTTTTTTTAGACTTTAAAAACAAGAAAAAGGCTTAAAGACAAAAATATACATATAAGAAACCTGCTTTTTAGTACATTTAGCATTCAATGGTGAAATCTTTAAAGTCTGTAAGTTTGTTTTACTTTTAGTAATCATGGGGACCGTGGTTAGGGAAGAATACACATGGCCTTTCATTTCTACACCCATTAACCATTATGATTTTGTGTATTAACCTAAATTCCCTTCACTTTCCCACAATACTTGAAATGACTACCAAAAGATTTAATGTAGCCATTACAAAATAATGTTACTGTAAGATCTAAAATCTATACCAGTGATGATGAACCTTTTGAGCTCGACGTGTCAGCATTTTGAAAAACCCTAACTTAACTCTGGTGCCGTGTCACATATAGAAATGTTTTGATATTTGCAACCATAGTAAAACAAAGACTTATATTTTTGATATTTATTTTATATATTTAAATGCCATTTAACAAAGAAAAATCAACCAAAAAAATGAGTTCGCATGTCACCTCTGACATGCGTGTCATAGGTTTGCCATCACTGATCTATACCATGAGAGAAGCTTTCTCCAAAAATCTTAATATATTTATTATAATAATCACCCTATTCTCTTTTAATATCTGAAGATGTCACCAATTAAAAAATTAGAGAACTTAATGACAATAAAGCCTAGAAATATTAAAATATCCTATTTTGATCTAATTATAATTAGATCAATAAGTAAATAATTCAGATTATGTAATGCCATACAGGTAATCTATTACATTACTGATTTTTAATATATACTTTGTTTAAAAACTAACTTCATTTGTTTTTTAAAAACAGCATTAAATATTTTATCTTTAAACATGGGTAAACCTATAATCTTCTATACTAATAAAAGGGTACTATGCTAATTAGACCAGATAGACCCGGATATCCTTCTGGTGGCAGGGGTCAAGGCAGAGGTGGTTAGGGGTGATCAGGCTGGCAGGCAGAGCAGTTAGGAGCGATCAGGCCAGCAGGGAAGCAGTTAGGGGCATCAGACAGGCAGGCAGAGGCAGTTGGGGGTGATCAGGCAGGCAGGCAGGTGAGCGCTTAGGAGCCTGTGGTCCCAGATTGGAGAGGGTGCAGGCTGGGCCGAGGGACACCACTGCCCCCCTTCCCTACCTATGAACCACAAAGTCACGATTCCTGGTCAGGGCACATGCCTGGTTTACAGGCTTGATCCCGTGTGGGCATGCAGGAGGCAGCCGATCAATGCTTCTCTCTCATCACTGATGTTTCTCTCTCTCTCCCTCTTCCTTCCTCTCTGAAATCAATAAAAAATATATTTAAAAAAGAAAAGAAAAAAGAGTAACTTACTAGCTAAAGGCTGATAACACAAGGTAACAAACATTTGCTAATGGAGTCATATAACCAAAGAAATGATTGATGTGCCTGTAGACTAAGCACCCACAAACCAACCACAAGGCCAGCCAGTGTTAAAGCTTCCAGAACTCAAATATTCCTTTTTAATAAGTTTGTCTTGATAAATGAGGAAAATGAAAACTGTATTTTACATATGTGTACAACTGCAAATTTTAAATACCTGCAGTTGCTTCTTAACACGTTCATTTTTCTGTGTTTCTGTTACACGTTCCTCCTCACTTCTATGGTTCATTACCCCATCACTTGATAATTCAGCACTAGCTTCAGCATTATTCTCATCATGTTCATCATGCTCATTTTCTGTTGGAGGAATGACTGGTGGAGGTGGAGGTGGAGGGGGGCCAGACATCACACTTTTTAACTCTTCTTTGGTCTTTTCCAAGTCTTCCTGGGCTGCATACGCCTGAATAAAAATAAAAATAAGTATATAGGCAATTTTAAAAATCAGTAACTTAAAAAAAAATCAAGTACATCTTCCTAATAGAAACGATTTTTCAGATAATGAAAATAGGCCCTATTGATGAAAATTCTATTTCTGGTGAAGAATGCCATCAGGTAGGAATGACAGAATTTTTTTAAAAAACATTACTTTGGAAACCCTAATAAAATTATTGGTTCTGGATTAAGGATTACTGCTGCTAAAATTGTTTTGTAAATGGTTGATAAAAAATGGATATTAGTATAATGCCAAAGAATGCCACACTTAATAGATTACATTTTTTTTTTTAGTCACAAGGGGGAAATTATAACCAATGAAGGAATCAAACTGCTATTACTCTAATCCAAATAATCAATTAAAATTCTTAATGGTGACTTAACTAGATATTGTCATCTGATATGATGCAACAGAAGTATCCACTATTACCAATTACTTGAGTGATCATAATGTGCTGGTCTGCTTGAAAAGTTCTGCTTTACACTGTTGTCCTGGAGTAATTATTATTATTTTTTAAAATATATTTTATTGATTTTTTACAGAGAGGAAGGGAGAGGGATAGAGAGTTAGAAACATCGATGAGAGAGAAACATAGATCAGCGGCCTTCTGCACACCTCCCACTGGGAATGTGCCTGCAACCAAAGTACAACCAAGGCCCTTGACCAGAATCAAATCCGGGACCCCTCAATCCAAAGGCCAACACTCTATCCACTGAGCCAAACTGGTTAGGGCCTGGAGTAATTATTAATAACACCCCCTGCCTTTCACTTTCAAAAATATTCTAATTTGGATGATACTTTATATAGAAATCTCACCTATGAGTCATTATAGCCAAAAACTTTTAACTTGAGTCCTTTAAGCTTTTAGGTCTATCTTCCACTTTACAGGAAATATTGATGATAAAAAGACAAACTGAATGACACCATGAAAAAGCAACTGGTTAAATACAAAAGGAGGGAAAATCTGGGTGCTTGCAACAATTCGATATAAAAAGAACTGTCCTACTTAAAAATAGACTCAGAGCAAACAGATGCAATGCAAAGTCCTACTTTGGACACTGGTAAATTAACTATAAAATACCTTTTGGGTCAATTTTGAATATAGCCTGCCCAGAAATAAATCCACACATATGTGTTCAATTAATTGGTGACAAAGCAGACAAGAATATGCAATGAAGAAAGGACAAGTCAGGCCGGTGTGGCTCAGTGGTGGAGTGTCAACCTATGAACCAGGAGCTCAGGGTTCAGTTCCCAGTCAGGGCACATGCTCAGGTTGCAGGCTTTATTCCCAGTGCGGGGGGTGTAGGAGGCAGCCAATCGATGGTTTTCTCTTATCATTGATGTTTCTCTCTCTCTCTCCCGCTCTCTTCCTCCCTGAAATCAATAAAAATATATGTATTTTTAGAAAGGACAATTCTTCAATAAATGGTGTTGGAAAAACTGGACAGCCACATGCAAAAGAAGGAAACTGGACCACTATGTTACACCATACACAAAAGGCAACTCAAAGATTTAAATGGAAGACATAAAACTCCTAGAAGAAATCACAGGCAACAAGTTCCTTGACATTGGTTTCGGTGATGATTTTTTGGATTTGATATGAAAAGAAAAGACAACAAAAATAAAAATAAACAAGTGAAACTCTATCAAACTAAAAAGCTTCTACACAACAGAGGAAACCATCAACAAAACGATAGGACAACCTATCAAATGGGAGATAGTATTTAAAAATTATGTAACTGATAAGGGGTTAATTCCCAACATATATTAAAAACTCATGCAACTCAACAGTTTAAAAGAGGAAACAATTCAATTAAAAAATGGGCAGAGAATTGAATAGACATTTTTCCAAAGACAGAGAGATGACTAATAGGTACATGAAAAGGTGCTCAACATCACTAATCAGAAGGGAGATGAACATGGAGCCACAAGTGAGATAATACCTCACACCAATTAGAATGGCTATTATAAAAAATAGTAAGTGCTGGCAAAGACGTGGGGGGAAAAGTACCCTTGTGTATGTGCTGATGATGGGACTTGTAATTTGGTGCCGCCACTATGGAAAACAGTATGGAGATTGTTCAAAAAATTAAAAATAAAATCACCATATGACCCAGCAATTCTACTTCTGGGTATTTCTCCAAAGGAAACAAAAACATTAACCTGAAAAGAGATATGCATCCTCAGATGCACTGCAGCATTATTAACAGTAGCCAAGATAAGAAAGCAACTTGAGTGCCCATTGATGAATAAATGATGTGGGGTGTGTGGGGTGTGTGTGTGTGTAATTGTCCTTTTTAAAAATACATACATTTTTATTGATTTCAGGGAGGAAGAGAGCGGGAGAGAGAGAGAAACACACACACACACACACAGAATGGAATATTCTTCAGTCATAAAAAAGAAGGAAATCTTGCCACTTGTAACATGATGGATGGACCTTGAGGGCATGATGCCAAGTGAAAGAAGTCAGAGAAAGACAAATATCATACTAGTATGATCTCACATATTTGTGGAAGATTCAGGGGGAGATAGAGCGAACATAATAACATAAAGAAAAAATAAATAAATGAACAAGAAAACAAGACAAAACACTGAACTTATGCATACAGAGAACAGACTAGTGGTTACCAGAGGCAGGGTTGGGCAAAATACGAAAAAGAGTACAAACTCCCAGCTTTAAAATAAATCACGGATGTAATGTACAGCATGACAACTGTAGTTAGTAATACTGTACTGCATATCTGAAAGTCGCTAAGAGAGTTAAAGTTTTTATTACAAAGGAAAAAATTTGTAGCTATGTATGGTGGCTTACTGTGGTGATCATTTCACAATATATACAAATATGAATTTTATGTTGTATATCTAAAACTAATATAATGTAAATTACATCTAAATTAAAAAATTTTTTTGAATATAGGATGACCTCACTCTGAACATACACGTGTGATACACCTATGCAAACAGAAAGAGACCCTGAAGGGACATGCACGGAGGCGTCACAACGTGATGACAGTGTGTGTGAATGTGACTCCTTGTGTGAATTTTCTAATCTCCATAATTCACAGGATTTGACCCAGGATGCTAGTTTCTATCAAATTCTAATAAAAAGTGTAAAAGGCACCTTAAAAGAGTTTTATTCCTTTTGTATAATTATATATACATAATTCTTAATATATAAAAAACTTTCCTATGAAATTTAAACTGCTACAAAGAAAATATAAGAATGAAGAAAACCATATTCATTTTACTGTAGAAAAGTCATAAGTATACATTTAAGAATTAATGTTATCTAAAATTTGAATTAAGCTCTCATTATCTTATATTTCCCACTCCTCCAACTATAGCCTTAGTTTTCACTTTTGTGCAATTATAGGCAATAGTGGCTTCAAACAAATTGTTTTTTCAAAACAACAAAAAAAATCTCAGTATCATCTTCACTGCATCCCTCTAATTCCACTTTATAACCAAGCATCTGGTTGCCATGCCCTTTTGAATCCACCACACAACGTCTCAAAATTCCTGTTCCTCTTTATTCCTGTTCTCATGGCCACATCCTTAGTTTGGGTCTTTAGTTCTATAGTAATCCGACTCACTATCCCAATCCATCCTTCACACTGACTGCCAACTTAATTTTATAAAACTACACCTGATCATGTTACAATCCTGTTTTAAAATCTACGGAACCCAACATCTACAGATATTCCCCACCATCTTGCCTTAGCAGGGCATTTATATAAAGCCTTTCACAACTTCTACCTCTCCCAAATTTTCTGAGTTGCTTGTTCACTGGCTATCCTCAAATCTGTCGTGTACTTTCATGCTTCTTACACTCACTCTGTCTGGAATGACTTCCTCTTCAGTCCTCTAACCATTCCCAATCTTTTCTACCCTAAAATTGAGTTTATTATTCAAGACCCAGCTTAAATTTACGTTTCCTCAACACCTGCCGCATTCACCTCTCCTGTGTGTCCGAAGTACTTAGCTTACACCAACAGATTAATATTTACTACAATACACACAAGCATCTTTCCCCCCTAAATTGTAACAGATCCTATTATTCATCTCTATTAAATCAGTAGACTACTACGTACAAAATAAGTATTCAATAAATGATAGTAATGAACAAATAAATGATTACTTTTTGTTGCCACTCATTAGCTTCTTCTTCCTTTTTCTTCTTGGCTACTTCTAGAAGTGTAATCCTGGCAGTGAATTCAGCAAGTTCTGCTGCCTAAAATAAACAATATAATTACTCAAACTAAAAAACAATATATTTTCAATAATTCATATTAAGTCAACAAAGCTTATATGAACATGATTGGGCTGTTTTATGTTTTCTTAGTCTTCCATTTTAAAAAAGGTAATATTTCTTTAAGATGATAAATATCTTATTTAATAAGGAGAAAAAGTTTAAGAATTTTTACAGACAAGAACTCATTCATGTTTCAGTACCAGGAATTCAAAATGTGCAACATAGAAGCTATTTTTTAACTTTTATCAATAAAGTATCTGCTAAAGCCTAGAAAAGAAAAAATTGTTTTTATTCAAATCCAGTATCTTCTAAGTGTCATGCCTATTCCTTGTTATTTCCAAGTCCACTAAACAAAACCCAGTCAATTATGACCTACAGTTATCTTACAGGAGCTACACTGTATTGTCAATTCATCTAAAGCAAAACATGCCAGTGGCTTGTGTGAAGCTTAAGGTGAATCAGAATCTTTTGTTAGCAACAGGCTTCATTTGTATTTTATTCTGTTTCATTTGTAGGTTTATTTCCATACTTTGTTACTAAGTTACTTGTATCTTTAGTTTGCTCTCCAGAAGCCATAATAACGTACTTAGTTTTACAAGGTTCACTCCCCGCTTTTGTCTACATTGTTCTTCTTCTGTAAGACAGAGCTAAGGCTCCTTACCAGCTGCTCTTGATTCTTCATCTGGTCGGCAGCTTGTTTAGCTATAGCTGACTTGGCCTCTTCGGCAGCTCGACGCTCCTTTTCAAGCCTTTCTGCCTCTTCTTTTGCTCGTTTTCGTTCCTGTTCCAATTCCAGAGCTTTTCGAGTCTGTTCTTCTAGTTCTGTAAATATGTGCAAGCGCCACCCCCAACAACAGTTAATTCCAATTATACTCATTATCAAAAGAAGCCAAAATAGTAGCAAGGGATCTAATCTGTATAGTTTTTTAAAAGTTAGCACATCTGCAAATGAACATATACTTCATTTTTAACTTACCAAGAAGCCTAGTAATTTTTAAAAAATCTACGTTATTTAAAAATTATAACAAA